TTGTGCGGTAACCTTGTGGTTTTAAATACCGGTTGAATGCATTATCCTCACATATTTTGTGATCAATATTTTCTAACTTTGCTGACTGGTAAACCAGCGGCTTTTCATATAACTAGAACTCAGAAAATTTCCCCATTTCCCATGATAAAATACACTTGGAATATTGCAATATTAAAATCTCAGACATTTCTATAATATCCGTAGCAATATACATTTCAAGGATTCCCGTTATCCAGTACGAGAATACTTCCAGAGGTGTGTAGATGTCTTACACACTGACAAGATAAGAGTACAGAGAGTATCTTTACCTGTAGATGTTTCGCCATCCAGTGGCTTTGTCAATACGTAGATATAATTGATATATACAGCGAGTAGTGGAAGATGAGGTAGTCAGTCCCTCAGCCTAGGCGCAGGTGATAAGCAGTGTAGTCTTGAGGAATCTGATGCACAGACAGAAGATGGTTGCTTATTTGGTGCAATCCTTAACACCACTTTAACTAGTCGGCTGACACACAGGCACCAGTGTTTACTGGAGAAGGAGGGTAAGTGAAGTGGGTGCGAGGAAACGTGGACCTGTGAATCGCCGTGCCTGGAAATCGATAACGGGGAACCTGTGGTCATGGACCTGGGCATGGATAGGGCCGCAGAGGCGTTGATCCCCGGAATACCCACCAGCTAGACTCCAGGTTAGTTGTTAGCCAATTGCTCTCACCAGTAAGTTACAATCACCATTATTCCTCTCAAGCACAAAGCTCTACGCAGCTCTGAGCTACGCACAAACGATGCAATCATTCTTATACAGCCCTATCACGCAGTCCAGCGCGTCACTTGGAAGGCTCTATTACGGGGAATGGGTTCCTAGAGCCATTCCAGCTCTTGTTCCAGGCAAGCCAATCTTAAGAAGTGATTCCTCAGCCTGGAGGTCCATCATAGACAGCAGATGTCGATGACAGAGACGTGCCCAAACTGTGTAGCGCCTTGGTGTTGTGTGCTGAGGAAATGACAGAGTCTACCCTTGAAAAAAGTGAAACAATCAGACGTAGAATAAATAATTTGAGAATGGGAGACTTTTGCACCTTTCGGAATCTTAATTGATACCTTTATTATCGGTAACGTTTCGCCCACTGTGTATGTTGGTTAAATGGGCGTTTAAAGAATATCGATTACAATAAGATTATTAAGGCTACATATCACCTAACCGTAAGTCAAAAATACATTGCAGGTAACTCACAGCTTATATACAAAGAGAAACATGCACCTTACGCAGTGTGGGCGAAACGTTACCCTTTTCCCCGTGAATTAAAAACATTAAAGAGGTGAACTTTAAAACAGATTTGACATACGTGGAAGACGTAGTCCAACGAAAAATCTTGACACAACAAAATCAAAATACGTAACTGAGGGGCAGTTTCCGCGTCCTAAAAACACGAAAATGGAATAAAAGGACAACAGACCACATGATTTTTTTATGTAACAATTACATTGTCATTTGTCATGTTTCCACATGAGATGTAAATATAATGGGGAAAAAAATGGGGGAAAACTTCAATAAAATGACTTCCCTAGTCAAAGAATTGTAAAGAAAGATTGAATGCACGGAATTATATTTTAAGAATTTGAAGCCAAGAAGAAGCCTCTTAAAAAAAACCATACCACGGGCTGTGTTAGAACCCGCGATCAGAGTCTCAAAACTCCAGACTCTCTGATCGCGGGTTCTATCCCCGCCCGTGGTATGGTTTGTTTGCAATCGTGTCATTACGATTTCGTGAGTTAAGAAGCGACTTGATCATCATCTTGGACTGACCCATGCAAGAGCCTCATGGGGGGGGGGTAAAAACCTCCAAGTTTATTTATACACAGGTACACATAAGCCCAGTTATCATACAGTGTAAATTACCCATTTAGATAACCCAAAAAAATCAGTGACTTATTTCCACTGGGTTCATTCTATCTTATTTAATTCTTAAGAATTAAAACACCTATGTAACTGAATAGTATAAAAATCTGTTACAATGAAAAGAGAGAAAGCAAAAATAACAGAAGGCATTATAGTGGCTCAAGGAATAATCCCAGAGAGTCAAAGACAAAGGGTGCACCACCAAGTACCAGACACGATACACACAACAGATGAGGCGATTTAAAAAAAAAAGTTTTTGAATTGGCTGGACACATCAAAGGTAAGGGGACCTGAGAAGGCGTTATCATTGAGTCTGGGAAAGGAAAGATGAATTGTTGTCCAAGAAGAGATGCTAAAATGGGGAAGTGTATCAAGTGGGATGCCGCAACTATCAGTAATTAGGCTCAGTACTGGTTGTGGTATATGAAAATAATACAGCATTAGAGATGATCAGATATATCCTTGCTTACAGAAGTGAAATTAATTAGAATAAACTCCGACGAGGACAAGAAAATGCTACAAATGAACCAGGACAAACTACAGGATTGATCAAATAAGTGGCTGTTGGAATTCAACCCCCAGGAAATGCAAAGTAATGAAAAATGAAGACCAAATGCTTCACTCAAGAAGCCCTCTGGGTGAGTATATTGCTGAGCATATCTCCAGAGGAACAAATCAATTGAATAATCTTTGATAGGTAAAAGGACACAAGTGTAACTAATGCGACATTTTTTTCTGGTAACGTTTCGCTCTCCAGGAGCTTAGCCAAGCCCTAACAGTAATTCCACCAACATTGTCCTATAACCTAGTTGGGTTATTGAGGCTGGGACTTTGGGTAGTTTCAAATCTAGGTTGGATAAGTACATGAGTGAGAGGGGTTGGATTTGAGTGGGACTTTCACATCAGAGCTTATTTCTTGGGTGGCATTGAAAATTGGGTTGGGCAAATGTTTTGTTAGTGGGATGAATTGTAAAGGACCTGCCTAGTATGGGCCAGCAGGCCTCCTGCAGTGTTCCTCCTTTCTTATGTTCTTATTACAGGAATAACCTTTGCAGGGAATACTCATTTGGCAAGCAAGATTAAGTTTCAGGAATCACAGCAAAGATTCATTTACGGTCAGATATACAACACACATCAAACCACTCTGAGTATGATCGAAACATTCACTTTATAAAGAATATTGACAAACTGGAGAACGTACAGAGCTATACACTGAGATTAGTCCCAGAGATAAGGGAAACGAGCCGATGAGAAGTAATTATAACTGCAAGTGAAGACGTTAGATACGACAACCAGATCGTTGTTCTAGATTCGCCGGTATAATAGCCCGGCCCTGGCCTTTTCCAAGTGGTGGCCCAGCCTTGTGGGCTCCCTTTCCCTGGAGTGTCTCAGACCAATGTCTGCCATGGGAAGAGGTACAAGAGCATAAGTAAGGGGGAACACTGCAGCAGGTCTGATGGCCCATACTAGGCAGGTCCTTCACAATCTATCCCACTAACAAAATATTTGCCCAGCCCAATTTTCAATGCTACCCAAGAAATAAGCTTTAGAGAATTTTATTTACTCATGTGCAAGTCCCACTCAAATCAAGTCCCTCTCACCTATGTATTTATCCAACCTAAATTTGAAACTACTCAAGGTTTTAGCCTCAATAACCCTACTAGGTAGACTGTTCCATTCATCAACTGCCCTATATCCAAACAAATACTTTCCTATATCATTTCTAAACCTAGACTTGTCTAATTTGAATCCATTATTGCGGGTTCTAGGAGAGATATCCTCAAGTCCTTATTTATATCCCCTTTGTTAATACCCATGTTCCACTTGTCTTCTGGGACTATCTGTCCCCAGGCCTAGCCCTATTCCCCTCCCCCACGGGGCTCGGATGGGGAAGCTAGGCACCTTGGGCTACCACAAACCCCGCCTACACTGGGCACGAAGGTTGTGGCAGCTGTATAGCAGCATACTATGTCAGAAGGTACAGCAAACACTACAAGATCCTTTTCGAGCCACACCCCAGCTTTGGGCATTAAGCCCGAGCGTTGGGGAAACTCGGGAATGCCTTTTGCCGAGTGTTACTGCTGCTTGCTCACTTGTCCGTTCCACTCTCCATCTCTGTGAAAACCAGATGAAACATGGTACCACCATAGAAAATATTCAGAGGACGTAATAGAGTGGACAGGGATAGACTATTCAAGAGGCAAGAAATGGGTATACAAGAGCACAAAATTTATATATGAAAATGAGTCACAGATGTCCCAAGGTATTATTTCACCATCCATCGGGTGGTCAGGAAGGGCGAAAGACCTAAAAGAAGAATTAATGAAGACAACCTCCATACACAGTTTCAGACATAGGTATGTCACAGCCCCAAATATATATATTATATATATATATATATATATATATATATATATATATATATATATATATATATATATATATATATATAATATATATATATATATATATATATACACACACACACACACACACACACACACACACACACACACACACACACACACACACACACACACACACACACACACACACACACACACACACCATCAGCCATTAAGTAAACAGATTAATTCCTTGAAAATTTCCATTCTCACTTTCAATGCAAAATCCCATCAATATTTTGAAAATTTCCAAAATGCCTTTTAACAGTGAATTTCTTTCATTTTCAGAATTACAGGAGAGAACAAATGGTTTTAAAAAGACTGTACGAGAGAAACCAAATTTAACAATATTGACTCGTATTTATCAATAATATATTTATCACTTATGTCTTCCATGAGCAATAAATACTAAGTAGGTGTGGTGGTTGTGAAACATTTGAAGTTCCTATAGTGTTTTGAAACAGATAACTGAAACAGAAAGGTGAAATAAACAGGTGTAACAGACTGGTGAAATCAACAGGTCTAACAGGCTGGTGAAATCAACAGGTGTAACAGACTGGTGAAATCAACAGGTGTAACAGACTGGTGAAATCAACAGGTGTAACAGACTGGTGAAATCAACAGGTGTAACAGACTGGTGAAATCAAAAGGTGTAACAGACTGGTGAAATCAACAGGTGTAACAGACTGGTGAAATCAACAGGTGTAACAGGCTGATGAAATCAACAGGTGTAACAGACTGGTGAAATCAACAGGTAACAGACTGATGAAATCAACAGGTGTAACAGACTGGTGAAATCAAAAGGTGTAACAGACTGGTGAAATCAACAGGTGTATCAGACTGATGAAATCAACAGGTGTAACAGACTGGTGAAATCAACAGGTGTAACAGACTGATGAAATCAACAGGTGTAACAGACTAGTGAAATCAACAGGTATAACAGACTGGTGAAATCAACAGGTGCAACAGTGATTAAATCAACAGGTGTAACAGACTGGTGAAATCAACAGGTGTAAAAGACTGGTGAAACCAACAGGTGTAACAGACTAGTGAAATCAGGTGAAAAATATACGAAATAACAGTGATAAAATCTAGTAAAAAAAGTAGTGAAATAGGCAAGTCAAACAGAGGAGTCAGACACTACAAACAAACTAAATCCAACAAACAATTCAAACTAAGTGAAACAGAGGAACAGGGAAGTGAGAGAGGCAAAACCGACCGATTATAATAATCGTCAAATATTTTTTTATTACTATACTTAATTGTGATTTCTTCTGTGTTCTTACGAATGCTTAATCCTGTAGATAATAAGGCAAAAGTTCTAGGATTAGTAGAGAAAGCGAGTGAAATCTGTCCAGTAAAAGGATTACATTATGCAAAGAGATAATCACGTATAGAGATTGGGTGAGGCTGAAGTTGATGAGTGGATTTAGGAGCGTATGGGACCTCCTCTGTTGTATCCAGTTTGATTGTGGTACACTCGGTCTCCAAAGATTTTGAGAGGGAGAAGTTTGGGTTCCTGCCCTAGGTCTATGTTATATCCTCGCATTACTTGCTAAAGTGACCTCTAGTGATTCTAGTGCCACAGTGAAACAGCACTGCTATAAACAGTGCCACAGTGAAATAGGTCTGCTCTAAACAGTGCCACAGGTACGTGGGCATCACGGCCACAATTTGTGATAAATTGAACTTCCACTGTTGTACGAGTGAATGGTTGTTTATTCTAGGTGCCACAACGATGTTTCGAACAATGCCACAGTCGATTTCAGTGAGTCACGGGAGTTGAACTCCATCAAGACAATCGTCAACATATACCCAACTGGTCTTCCGCCTGTTCAAAGGTTCATTAACTTCGCGTGAACAGCCAAATTATGGTAGTGATTCTAATAACCTAATTAAGAGAACTATTGTTAATCAACAATGATCATTTACAGTAAAGTTTGCGATGTTTAGAGTGGTGGTATCATGCTGGAAAAATATTTCTTTACACATCAGAGGAATTAAAATAACTTTCCTGATAAAGGCTTTCCCGTGTTGTCTCACGTCAGCAAAGGCTTGCGAGAACATGTCTTTTCTTGGTAATTATACTTTAGAGACAAAAGGTTTCAATAGCCAGGAAGGTTCAACGAGGAACAGACTGTTTCACCTCCACAAATGAATCGCTAAATGAAGTTGGAATGAAACCTAGAAGACACACACAGGAATAATTAACACTGGAAGGTGGGTAAAGATAGAGCTATAGACTGATCAAGCGGGTGTACGAGCAGTTGATCAGATGGACACTGTTCTTACTATGCAACACTACACAGGAAATGCAAATTGTAGATGACATGGCAGGAGGACGAAGATACAATGCCAGGTAGAGTAGCGGCTCTGGGATGTGGGTTATGATGGTGAAGCGGCCTCTGATGATAGTGACACGAGTGGCCAGATGTGAACACCGAGGCCCCAGTATGGACGTCTCCTAGGATGGTGACTCCTCACCCTTCATATGATGAGGATACTCCATATTTATAGCGGACTACGTCAGTCTGAAAAGACATTAAAAATACAGGCGCTATTGTGGGTGTGCTTGTGGGCGGGGGTCGTACGTGGTTCGGGCAGCGAGTGTCCAAAACTCTGCGAGTGTAAGTGGAAAGACGGGAAAGAGACAGTGTCCTGCATTAACACTGAGTTTATCGATATTCCACGCAACCTTGACCCGTCCACACAGGTACTAGATATGAAGCATAACAACCTCCAGATTCTGCCTCGCGATGCCTTCGTTGACACGGGTTTAGTAAACCTGCAGAAGCTCTGGCTAAACTACTGCAATTTGAATCGTTTGGATCGTGGTTCCTTCAATATGCTGGCCAATCTTGTGGAGCTAGACCTGAGTCACAATCTGCTGCGCACAGTACCCACAGCAGCGCTTATCGATATCCCTGGCTTGAGGGAACTTCGCCTTGCAAGCAACGCTCTCACTAACATTCCCCCCGATGCTTTTGCACCTATACCAGACCTCGTTCACTTGGATCTCTCTCACAACAGAATACATAATGTTGATCAGAAGGCTTTCCGGTGTCTCTCATCTTTAGAAATTTTAAAGTTTTCTAGCAACATGTTAGTACATTTACTCCAAGAACTTCTCGTACCTCTGAAGGCGCTTCACGGTCTCAATCTCAACGAAAATCCATGGAACTGTAATTGCAGTCTTCGCCCCTTACGCCAGTGGATGCTAAATCATAAAATTTCCAGTGTTGTACCGCCTAACTGCGCTCGTCCTAAGCGCCTCAGTGGGCGTAGCTGGCAAACGTTAGCCTTAGACGAATTTGTGTGCCCCCCACAAATCACTGCCATAACTCTGAGGGTTATTGCCAGCCGTGGAGACAACATATCGCTCATGTGTCGGGTTGAGAAGGACTTGGAAGTCTCTATCACCTGGCTTCACGGAGAAAGGCCTTTAAAAAACACAAGTGAAACAAGGCGTTACCGTGTGCTGGATCTGGTTACACCTAATAATACTATGCTTATTTCTAATTTAACAATTGTAGGAGTCGTATCAAAAGACAAAGGGACATATAAATGTGTAGCAGAAAACAAGGCGGGGCGTAGCGAATCAAATTTGACATTGAAAGTATCTAATGCTATAAGTGAGGTACGGCTCGTGTCCATTGACAAGGCATACATGACCGGCGGCCTTCTAAGTGGTTTAGGATTTCTGGTCACCGTCTTACTTCTTGTGAGCTGTATCATTCACCGTCGGCAGAGAGTGCAGAGGTTTCGTAGACAAGAGGAGGACAGAGAAGGTAGAGTTGTCCAAGGTACTTGCCAGACCAGCAAATCAGGACCTCCTAAAATCCAACGTAAGCCCTCAGAGTATAATGTTATTCCATCCGGGGACCCTGAAGTTCCGCCTGTTCATCCATTGCCAACCCACACGCCGTGGATGGCGAGGGAGATCGTCAACGGCGGGTATCCTCCTGCGAATTACTTGGAAAACGGTAGATACGATGATTCCAGCCTCGATAGGTACCGGGAAGAAATAATCGATGACCTAAGAGAGCAACAGGTGTCTCCGAGCACGATATCCTACGTAGAACCGCCTTCGACGGAACTATCTAGGCGGCGAAGTGACCTTACAGACAAGGAGTCTCTGAAGAACCTCGAGTTTGAAACAGACATTCTTAGACGCGAGTGTAGCCCCACTGGTTCTACCGTCTCGGTGGTGAGCAATGGCCAGTTGAATAACATTCTCAACCTACCTTACTCTCGACGGCGGGACCTACAGAGCTTCCAGGCATTAGACTTCAATACCATCGCCAAAAAGTAAGTACATGTTCCTTCCTCTTCCGAAAAAAAAAAAAAAACTAAAATAATGCATCTCACTACTTTACGCTACAGCTTACTGATTAGTTTTGTACCCCAACTCTGAGATGACAATGTTGACAGTTCTATAGTGTTGACAGTTCTACACAATGTTGACAGTTCTACTCAATGTTGACAGTTCTACACAATGTTGACAGTTCTACTCAATGTTGACAGACCTACGCAATGTTGACAGTTCTACACAATGTTGACAGTTCTACACAATGTTGACAGTTCTACACAATGTTGACAGTTCTACACAATGTTGACAGTTCTACACAATGTTGACAGTTCTACACAATGTTGACAGTTCTACACAATGTTGACAGACCTACGCAATGTTGACAGTTACCTACTACAATGTTGACAGTTCTACACAATGTTGACAGTTCTACACAATGTTGACAGTTCTACACAATGTTGACAGTTCTACACAATGTTGACAGTTCTACACAATGTTGACAGACCTACGCAATGTTGACAGTTCTACACAATGTTGACAGTTCTACACAATGTTGACAGTTCTACTCAATGTTGACAGATCTACGCAATGTTGACAGTTCTACACAATGTTGACAGTTCTACACAATGTTGACAGTTCTACACAATGTTGACAGTTCTACACAATGTTGACAGTTCTACTCAATGTTGACAGTTCTACACAATGTTGACAGTTCTACACAATGTTGAAGTTCTACACAATGTTGACAGACCTACGCAATGTTGACAGTTCTACACAATGTTGACAGTTCTACCAATGTTGAAGTTCTACACAATGTTGACAGTTCTACCAATGTTGACAGTTCTACACAATGTTGACAGTTCTACTCAATGTTGACAGTTCTACTCAATGTTGACAGTTCTACTCAATGTTGACAGTTCTACTCAATGTTGACAGTTCTACTCAATGTTGACAGTTCTACACAATGTTGACAGTTCTACACAATGTTGACAGTTCTACTCAATGTTGACAGTTCTACACAATGTTGACAGTTCTACACAATGTTGACAGTTCTACACAATGTTGACAGTTCTACACAATGTTGACAGTTCTACACAATGTTGACAGTTCTACTCAATGTTGACAGTTCTACTCAATGTTGACAGTTCTACTCAATGTTGACAGTTCTACACAATGTTGACAGTTCTACACAATGTTGACAGTTCTACTCAATGTTGACAGTTCTACTCAATGTTGACAGTTCTACTCAATGTTGACAGTTCTACACAATGTTGACAGTTCTACACAATGTTGACAAAACCTACACAGTGTTGACAAACCTACACAGTGTTAACAAACCTACACAGTGTTGACAAACCTGCACAATGTTGACAAACCTACACAGTGTTGACAAACCTACACAGTGTTAACCTACACAGTGTTGACAAACCTACACAGTGTTGACAAACCTACACAGTGTTGACAAACCTACACAGTGTTGACAAACCTACACAGTGTTGACAAACCTGCAGTGTTGACAAACCTACACAGTGTTGACAAACCTGCACAATGTTGACAAACCTACACAGTGTTGACAAACCAACACAGTGTTGACAAACCTACACAGTGTTGACAAACCTGCAGTGTTGACAAACCTACACAATGTTGACAGTGTCGACAAAACCTACACATTGTGTCTACTACTGACTAATGTTACTTGAATGAGGTCTAACGGAGCGAGGTTGTTTGTCCTCATCACTTCTTTTTTACTTTGTATAAACACTTATACTCACTTATGCTGATCATTACTTTTAAAGTGCAGCATTTCCTGATAATCTTGAAGTCCTTAATGTTTTTTTACATTAAACGATTTATTTAAAAAGGCAAAACCATTTTTTTGTGTTAACACGAATATAATCCAGCAGATAATTTAGTTATTGCAAGTTCCATTTTTTCATGCTACTTAATAAGTATTTGTACTCTTACTTGGATCTTTAACCAGTCACACTGAGTCGATGTGAGTGATTAATGGTACACGTTGGAGCGAAACATCGTCTCACGTTTCAGTCTCCTAAGCACTGGTTATATGTGCAACAATATTTCAAAAGGCCTCATGTATACACTGTGTTAAATTCCACACGAGAGAGATTAATCTGAGAGCCATTTAGCATAAATTAAATGGCTTTCATGTAAACTTTGATGAAAAACTGAAAATCTTACTTAAAATATATAGCTATATATAATTATCTGTCCTTAATTATCATCATTATCATTATTATTGCCTATGTTTGAAGAGAGTTATAATGGAATAATGATAAACGTTTACATTATGAAGACCTAACTTGAAATACTCTCGTTGCAGACACCGTCCTCTCTTCTATGAAGACAGAAGACATGAGCGATTAGTATATGATCCCTGTTCTCTAAACGGCAGGTGAGGCATGGTCACTTGACCTGGTCATCTCAGGTTAGTGAGGTCAGGTGTGTGGCTGAGTAAAGTGGTTGAGTACAGTATGACAGGATGACTGGTTGGCATTTAATAGAGTGTATGTATATGTGTGTGTTATATATATATATATATATATATATATATATATATATATATATATATATATATATATATATATATAATGTAATATATATATATATATATATGTCGTGCCGAATAGGCAGAACTTGCGATCTTGGCTTAAATAGCAACGCTCATCTTGCCATATAGGACAAGTGAAAATTTGTGTATGAAATAATTTCGCCAAAATCATTCTGAACCTAACGAAAAAAATATATTTCAGTGTGTTTGTTTAGTATTAAATTATTGTAAACAAATCTATAATATATTTAGCTGGGTTAGGCTAAAATAAATTGAGCTTGTTATAATAAGGTTAGGTAAGTTTTCTAAGTTCCTTTTGGTGCAAAATTATAAATTTTTACATTAACATTAATGAAAAAATATATCTTTAAACGTATAAGAGAAAATTTTAGAAAAGACTTAATCTTCAATGAGTTCTTGCTAATTGACCAGTTTTACATATTCGGCACGACATATATATATATATATATATATATATATATATATATATATTAAATATATATATATATATATATATATATATATATATATATATATATATATATATATATATATATATATATATATATATATATATATATATAAACATACTTGAAATATAGGGGGTGGTAGGAGAAAATTCTCAAACAGCTTCAGGGAAAACCTTGAGTTTTCCCTGAAGCAAGTTTATTCTTTTCTCTGAGGATGAGGGTCCCTATAACAGTTCTAGAAGTGGTACCTGCCTATATTATATATATATATATATATATATATATATATATATATATATATATATATATATATATATATATATA